ATGCCCATATGTCATATTTATATATGTGTAATAAAGCATAAATTTTGGAAATTTTCTGAGTGTCACGTTCTATTCATTATGTAGCCGCTTTTCTGTGAATCTCTTTTCACAAACCCCTCTTTTTTGAATGCCTCTTTTGGCTACTGAATAGAAACCGAATATTGGGTGACATGATAACTTAACTGATAACCTCTTAACAATTACCTTTAGTATATGGCCCCCACGAGATGCCCCTGGTACCTTTCATAGGCTTTTTTGGGTGTGGTTTGAGTGTGGGCGAGGACACAGGGGCCCCATGATTTCCCATTGCCCGGGGGCCCCATGAGTTGTCAGTCCGCCCCTGCTCCTGAAGCTACACTGGTGATTTGAGGGGGTGGCAAAAACCACCTGCCCCCCAAACTGCAAATGCAAAATAGCCCTTATTGTCCTGAGCCCCCCATGATTGTCAGGGAAAAGCTGACAGGGGAGAGACCCGTGTGTAAACGACACAAGCCTCTCTTCTGCCACCAAGGACATGCTGCTGTGTATTCCTTTGCACAGCACAGCAGCATGTCTCCCTAGTTAAAACACACCCAGCACCTTATGTAACACAGCACATTGTTAACCCTTTGATCGCCCCACACGTTAACCCCTTCCTGCCCAGTGCCATTAGTACAGTGTCAGTAATTTTTATTAACACTGATCACTGTATTGGTGTCATTTGGATGTCAGTGGCAGTTAGTTAGGTCCCACCCAGTGTCAAAATGCCCGCCCGCAGTCCCGCAGTCCCGCAGTCCCGCAGTCCCGCTATAAGTCTCTGATCACCAACATTACTAGTATAAAAAAAAATTAAAATCCCAGTATATATACCGCCATTTTTTAGACGCTATAACTTTCAAGTAAACCAATTAATTTACATGCATTGGGATATTTTTTTTACCAAAGAAATGTAGCAGAATAAATTTTTGCCTAAATTTATGCCGAAATTTGATTTTAAAATTTTTTTTACTGGATATGTTTTATAGCAAAAAGTTAAAAATATTGTTTTTTTTTTTTTTTTCAAAATTGTCAGTCTTTTTTTTTATAGCATGAAAAAATAAAAAAATCACACAGTTGATCAAATACAACTGAAAGAAAGCTCTATTTGTGGGGAAAAAAGACATCATTTTAATTTAATTTATGTACAGTGTTGCATGACCGCATAATTGTCAGTTAAAGTAAAGCAGCGCAGTAACACAAAAAATGGCCTGGTCAGGAAGGGGGTAAATCCTCTGGAGGGCAAGTGGTTAAAGGTATGAATACTATGATATCAGGAGGGTATATATTATTTTTGCGTGTATAGGTGCATGTAATCGGTAAAAAACAAACCCAGTCCATATGCACTCCATATTGTGAGGTTCTGTTATATCTCATATGACCAATATGCTATCTGTACTTCATAAACACATACAAACAGTATGAAAGCATACAGTATGTCAATAGTCCTTAAACAAAATAAATGTAAAATAAACTTAAATCTTTAGAAAAAATTCAAGTGGAACTTTAGTCAGAAAATCAGTTCCTGATAGATCACTTCCAGCTGATCCCTTTTGCAGGTATAGCTATGTAAAACATTAAAAATAAGTACCTATACTGTTTAAAATCCAGCAATACACTGTCTCCCTCTGATCTGCACATGCTCAGTTGCACTATACTTTTAAACACTGTGCCAGAAATGTAGAGGGCTGATCTGCTGACGGCCTAAAGATTTACTGCTGCTCAGAGGCTCTGGGCTTCAGCAAAATGGCATCTTCCAGCAAGAAGAAACAGTAGCAATGCCGGAGGCAATTTACAGCTCACACTCATTTTGGTAGCATAATTATTAATGTGGGATGTATGTTCCTTCCCACATGGAAGAAAAATCTATTTGAAATATATTTTAAAAATATTCTTCCCAAATATATTGACATATATTTGAAATGCTACAATTTTGGCCATATCCAATAGATTTCAAAATATATTTCAATTAAAAAAAAATCTATATATATATATATCTATATATATATATATATAGATATATATATACTGTATGTTGAAATGCATTTTCATTACAAAATATATGAAAAAATATTTTAAAAATAAATTTTTCAAATATACTGTATGTCTTTAAAAATCTACATTTATGGAATGCGTTTACAAATATATGTAAAAATACAAAGTTTAAAATTACTTCTTTATATGTTAAAAAAATCTGAAGAATATAGTTAAAAAATAAATATTTGTAAAAATATTTTTAAGATATTGTATAATATATAAAAAATGCATTTCAACATGCAATATATATATATATATATATATATATATATATATATATATATATATACACACATACACTGAATGTTGAAATGCGTTTTTTATATATTGCAAACTATTTGAAAAATATTTTTTTAAATATATCTTTTTTTAAATATATTCTTCAGATTTTTTTAACATTCTTCAGATTTCTGTACTATCCATGTAGCCTGATTTTGGTACCTTCCACGTAACATGTATTTATGTGCCTTTCATGTAACATGCATTTCTGTACCTTCCAAGTAACGTGTATTTCTGTACCTTCCATGTAACGTGTATTTCTGTACCTTTCACATAACATGTATTTCTCTACCTTCCACGTAATTTGCATTTCTGTACCTTCCACGTAACGTGTATTTTTGTACCTTCCATGTACCGTGTATTTCTGTACCTTCTATGTAGTCTGATTTTGGTACCTTCCATGTAACGTGTATTTCTGTACCTTCCACGTAACGTGCATTTCTGTACCTTCCACGTAACGTGCATTTCTGTACCTTCCACGTAACGTGCATTTCTGTACCTTCCACGTAACGTGCATTTCTGTACCTTCCACGTAACGTGTATTTCTGTACCTTCCACGTAACGTGTATTTCTGTACCTTCCACGTAACGTGTATTTCTGTACCTTCCACGTAACGTGCATTTCTGTACCTTCCACGTAACTTGTATTTCCGTACCTTTCACGTAACGTGTATTTCCGTACCTTCCACGTAATGTGTTTTTCTGTACCTTCCATGTAACGTGTATTTCTGTACTTTCTATGTAGTCTGATTTTGGTACCTTCCATGTAACGTGTATTTCTGTACCTTCCACGTAACGTGTATTTCTGTACCTTTCATGTAATGTGCATTTCTGTACCTTCCACGTAACGTGTTTTTCTGTACCTTCCATGTAACGTGTATTTCTGTACTTTCTCTGTAGTCTGATTTTGGTACCTTCCATGTAACGTGTATTTCTGTATCTTTCACATAACATGTATTTCTCTACCTTCCACGTAACGTGTATTTCTGTACCTTCCATGTAACGTGTATTTCTGTACCTTCTATGTAGTCTGATTTTGGTACCTTCCATGTAACGTGTATTTCTGTACCTTCCACGTAACGTGTATTTCTGTACCTTCCATGTAACGTGTATTTCTGTACCTTTCATGTAATGTGCATTTCTGTACCTTCCACGTAACGTGTTTTTCTGTACCTTCCATGTAACGTGTATTTCTGTACTTTCTCTGTAGTCTGATTTTGGTACCTTCCATGTAACGTGTATTTCTCTACCTTCCATGTAACGTGTATTTCTGTACTTTCTATGTAGTCTGATTTTGGTACCTTCCATGTAACGTGTATTTCTGTATCTTTCACATAACCTGTATTTCTCTACCTTCCACGTAACGTGTATTTCTGTACCTTCCATGTAACGTGTATTTCTGTACCTTCCATGTAACGTGTATTTCTGTACTTCTATGTAGTCTGATTTTGGTACCTTCCATGTAACGTGTATTTCTGTACCTTCCATGTAACGTGTATTTCTGTACCTTCCATGTAACGTGTATTTCTGTACCTTCTATGTAGTCTGATTTTGGTACCTTCCATGTAACGTGTATTTCTGTACCTTCCACGTAACATGTATTTCTGTACCGTCCATGTAACGTGTATTTCTGTACCTTCCACGTAACGTGTATTTCTGTACCTTCCACGTAACGTGTATTTTGTACCTTCCACGTAACGTGTATTTCTGTACCTTCCACGTAACGTGTATTTCTGTACCTTCCACGTAACGTGTATTTCTGTACCTTCCACGTAACGTGTATTTCTGTACCTTCCACGTAACGTGTATTTCTGTACCTTTCATGTAATGTGCATTTCTGTACTTTCTATGTAGTCTGATTTTGGTACCTTCCATGTAACGTGTATTTCTGTACCTTCCAGGTAACGTGTATTTCTGTACCTTCCATGTAACGTGCATTTCTATACCTTCCATGTAATGTGTATTTCTATACCTTTCATGTAACATGCATTTCTGTACCTTCCATGTAGCCTGCGTTCTGCCCTGCTGACCCCCTGTACACTGCTTATCTCAAGTTTGACCCAGAACTAAGCATCTGTGCAGAAAGAATGCAAGCACAAGATTTACATCAATGTTCTGTGAGCTGTAGATATGAAAATTATTTCAGAGGTTCCCCAAGATCTCAAACGTTTTTGCCAAGGCTTCATGCAAGGTAAAAGAGAAACCCTGTAATATTCAACATTACATACTTCTGACCAAATGTTCATTGTCTTAACAGTTGCTTCTTGCTAATTAGGTCCTGATATTCTAGTGAAGTTCTCCTTTAACCTCCCTGGCGGTCTGATTATTTCAGATTTTTTGTGCTGAAAGCGGTACCATTATTTTGCATGGAAATATGTATTTTTTTTATTGTAGGCTGTAATTTTTAGGAATAACTCACTGAAATCTGTCTGAACAAGAGTCTAGTAAACATCCCGGGTATGATAAAACTTGAAACACGAAATCATAAATTATAATTTAATAAATAATCATAAAAAATAATAATATAATAATAATACATTTAATTCAATAATATAATCAAACCAAAAACACTGAAATGTGAAATATAGCGCCAAGTTCGCACATCGCTGAGCAAAGTCGCAGAATCGTTTTCAGTGTCCGATGACAAATTTCTCCACGAATCATTATCACTCAATTCTGCAAGTGGTTGTGATTTACTATCGCTGTTCCCTAGCTGGTCTAAAAACTGATTTTGACCTAAAGGGACGCTTTTTGGACGCCAGTTTCCAGGCAGAAAGAACAGTCAAAATGCAGGCAGGGCACAGGACAAAGCAGTAGGAACATAATGTATGTGAAATGCTTTGAAACAGCAATGTTTTACTATGTAATAATCGTTTTTAAAAAAATGACACTTTTTAAAACTTTCAAATTTGCCGCCAGTTCCAGCGCCCGTACGTCCTGACGCTCGCAGGGACCGGAACACGGAAGCTGGATGCCGGCATCGGCTGGAGGAGATGGCCGGGGACGCTGCAGGGGACGCATCGCGGGAGCGAAGGACAAGGTAAGCGCTGCAGGGAATCCCTGAGCAACGCCGCATGGTAAGCCCGAGTGTAGCTCGGTGTTACTGCTTGTGGTACTGAAATTTTACCCCGAGCTACACTCGGGAATACCGCCAGGGAGGCTAAGGTAGGCTCAGAGAAAGTGTTAGCCCTCTGTCTATTTTCAGTCTGTACACAATCATACTTATGGAAGATTATGCAAACGTATTGCATTGAAGTGTATTCATATCTGTGAGACTCTTAATTACGGCACAGAAACCTAAGCATATTTTATGCATAAAAGAAGGCTTTTGATGTGTGTAACCACGCCCGTTTAAGCCCCTCCCACTGCTAACACAATTTGGTCACACCCACCATCCAACCCATCACTACTCCACTCTCAGTTCTCATTGAGACCCCAGGCCTTTTACAATCCTAGCAACACCCCTGAAACAATGAACACCATGCCCACTCTTCACTGCAGCACACCACATTTTCTTTTTTTTATCAAGCAATAGGGCCCACCTTATAATCTTGCACACAGACCCACTGATTTCACAAAATGCCCCTGCCTGCTCCCCCCATTTTATTTTTAAACCTTTACTTATCGAGTTGTGGGTTCTTTAAACTTCATCACCAACCCAGCAGATTCAGCATTGCCCTACTGAGATCCTCTTCTCTTTTGCTTCCACTAGGGTCCCTTGCGGATATGTTTTTGTGTGATGTCAATGGGAGGCTATTGACTCTTCTAAGTTCAGCAAGAGGACCTCCCGATGATGCTCTGCTAGGCACACCCCTCATCCCTTTCTGAATTAAGTGTGATAATTTAATACCCGGAATGGACTGTAACACAAAGAAATGTTTGCTGCCCTAGACTAGTGGCTGTTGTCACCTTCAAAGTATTCCCCTTGTGAAGCGACTCACTATTATAGACAACTGTGCCACTGCTGGAAACATTCCAGAAATATGTTTTCCAGAATGCTGTGCAGTATCTTTGTCGCGGCATGCTGAATGTCTGGCATGCCATCAAATCTGTGTCCTTTTAAGGCATTTTTTTTACATTTTGGAAACAGCCAAAAGTCCCAGGGAGCTAAGCCAGAGGAAAAAGGTGGTTGGTCAACTTTCGGAATGGAAATCTGGGCCATGAACGCTTAAACACTTAATGCATCATGTGCAGGAGCATTGTCATGATAGAGAATCCACTTGTTAGGCCAGAGTTCAGGTTTTTCCTCCAAACAGATTCCTGTAATGTTTTAATTTTCCACATTTGCATCCATCCTTTGCATTTGTGCCTGCCCACTTCTTGCAGCATTTTGGACATCTTCCCGATCCTCCATAAACCACCAATGCCATTCAAAAACACTTGATTTTTCTCATGGAATGTTGTCCATAAGGCTGTTGTAACAGACTGTTTTTCACGTTTGCAAATTTTCACACAAAATTTGATGTCAATCCGCTGCTCTTTATATCACTCATTTTTGACCAACAGAGCAACGTACACAAGTGTTTTTTTTCTTCTACTACTCCCTAAAGACTGAGTCAACTGGTCTGTAACCCAGGTGAGTGTAAGTTAGAACATGTCAGAACATGCTCTAGTGTGAATGGCTGTGATGTTTTTTCACACATTGAATGCCTCCTGGGATATTTGATGTGCATATCTCAGGGGGTAAAGGGAGCACAGTGCACATCATTCACTAAGGCCCCTTTGACACTGACAGTCCAATCGGGTCCGCCTGTCAGTATTTCAGGTGGACCCAATCGGACCATCCATAGCCCTCTTTGAACCGGCCGGTGTACACTGATACCTGCTGGCTTCCGATCCAATCCAATACAATAAAAACAGACAGATAGGTTTCCCTTCCCCATCTGTCTAGGGCAGTGGTTCTCAACCTGTGGGTCGCGACCCCTTTGGGGGTCGAACGACCCTTTCGCAGGGGTCCCCTAAGACCATCAAAAAACACATATTTCTGATGTGTAAAGAGCAGCTACTGTGTAGAAAGCAGCTGCTGTGTTAAAAGCAGCTACTGTGTTGAAAGCAGCAGTGTTGGAGGTAAAACGACACTCATGAATTATAATTACTGGGTAAATAATTTTATGGTTGGGGGTCACCACAACATGAGGAACTGTATTAAAGGGTCATGGCATTAGGAAGGTTGAGAACCACTGGTCTAGGGGATCAGATCAAATGGCAGTCAGGTAGAAAGGGACGGGCTGTCCATTTCCATCTGACTGCCCATAGAAAACAGCAGGCTGTGTCCTCTCTGCAGCAGAGGATTGGACATCGACCTGTCATCCACTTGCCCGCTGACTAGTCCACCCCATCTGAAACGGGCCTTAGGTGAGTGACATCCATGGGGGTCGAAACTGAAACCTCTCCATTAAAAAAAAGGTAAATACATGAAATAAAAGAGTGATGTTTGTGTAGCGGACAGGAGGCGGGGTGAAGAGAAGGGAAGTTTGTTCTGAGAGTGAAGATCCTCTTTAATATTTACCTTAAAAAAAAAAAAAGAATAATTTGCATTTCCTTTTTTTTTTTTTTTAGTTCTGACCATAATAAATGGATTTAACTCTTTGAGAAAAGGACCTTTTCATAAATGTGCACAGCAAACAGCACAGCTGCCTTTCAGTTTTTGTTTTTGTTTTAGCATAAAAAAAAGGTTGATAAGAGAACAAACCTTGAACAGTCCAGACCTCAATGTTCCACATTCTTGTTCTTGAAGTAGACGATTACAGTTGATTTGTCACAAAGAAAGAAACAATAAGAAGAAATCGTTACAGCAATTATGGATGCTGAAACTATGTTTTTCTTTGTGTTTCTTCTCACTACACCTTAAATCAACAACTAATTTCAGAGTTTATTTTTCTTCTTTTCTTTTACTGTAAAGCACACTAGGGGACCATTCAAACCCAACAAGAACTGCTCCTAATGAAAAATACAATTTTACAGAGTTCTCCTGTGCTTCTTCATGGCATTTGACCACATCTGGGAGACTCAAATTGGTTCATCTGAAGGTCAGGTGAAGAGACCCAGATCTGCTTTAAAATAAAGAATTCACTGATCGCAATGTAAATCAAGGGGTTACTTCTGGAGAAAAGGACACAGCAGGGGAGGGTCAGACTTGGCAAGTCCGAGTAATAAAATATATTTTTTTCTGAACTGTGTATAAATTGCCTACATGCTTCTAGCTTCTCTGTTCAGAGACTAGACAATAATATACTTCTGCTATATATAAGAAAAATGTATAAAATCTGTAGGATTCAATAAAAAGTGTTAACAGGTAATCACTCTAGAATACATAAGTAGCAACTGAGAGACTTTTAGGGCAAACTGTACTGTCCTGGGTCAATCTTATGTATTTAATATTAAATTTAAAGGTTTAAAATTGGTGGCTAAGCTTTATTTAGTTAGTCATGTTTGTCAAATTGATATGTTATATTCCTTCTCTTCTCTCCTTCCCTTCCTTCTCTTCCTTCCCTTCCCTTCCCCCTTCCCTTCCCTTCCTTCTCTTCTCTTTCCCTTCCCTTCCCTTCTCTTCCCTTCTCTCTTCTCTTTTCTTCCCTCTCTTTCTCTTTTCTTCCCTTCTCTTCCCTTCTCTTCCCTTCCCTTCTCTTCTCTCTTTTTGTAAATGAAAATCAATGTAAAACCCCCAAATGTAATTTTTTTTTTTTCTGTAGAATAAAATGACGGCCCACTTTGCAGTAAGCTTCAGCTACTGGAGCATCAATGTCTCTTTCTAGTTCTTGCCTGGTGTTCCCACCCACTATGGTCATGGTCAGGGGTGTATTTACCATGACGCAAAGCATTTGCCTAGGGCCGCATTTTTCTAGTTCCAATGGATGTCTGGAGCTGTTAAGGTGAGTGTCTTTCTCTCTCCCCAGGGAGGCGGTGTAGGGTGTATGGGGGGCAGTGGTAGTGGAAGGCTCTTTCAGCCAGGGGGAGGGTTAGTGGAAGGCTCTCTCGGCTGGTGGGGGGGGATGCCTTTTGGTGGGTTCTAGTGGAAGGCTATCTTGTCCAGGGGGTGGCTTTTGGCGGGTGTTAATGGAAGGTGATTTTGGTCAGTGTCAGGCTCCCTTGCCATGGGGCGTTCGGGACGGGGGGGTTGTAGGTGGAAGGAGGTCGATGTTTGTGTTGCCTAGAGCAGCACAAAACCTAAATACACTACTGGTCATGGTATTATTTCCTCATCATTGATATCTGAAAGGAGGGATCATTGCCTATAAACAAGATCAACATCTTGCAGCAAGTTATGGGAGCGTACAAGTTCACCAACTCATCGTTGCTAGTTTGTAGGGCTATGGTGGGAATATCAGAAGAGGAGGAGAAGGAATAAGAGGGTGAATTAGCAGCAGTTGCACACAACTGGCTTCTCTGCACCTGGGAGGGGATAGAAGAGGAAGGCTTTGTCACTCATTCAACTAACTTCTATGCCTTCTGTGGCTTTAAAGCACATTTACTCTGAGAACAAGCAAATATTCCTGCATCTAGATGGTACGGCCAAACCACCACTTTTTCCTGTGGGAACCTGCTTTGCTTTGCTACCTTTGCTTGAGGAACGTCTGCCTATTTCTTTTGGTCTGTCTGTCAATTTTTATTAAAGGCTCAAAGTAAGCAGTGCTTTAGCTAAACCATAGTTCTATACAGGGGCGTACTGACAACTCATGCGGCCCCCGGGCAATAGGGGATCATGGGGCCCCTGTGTCCTTGCCCAAACTCAAAAAAGCCTATATTAAAGGTACCAGGGGCATCTCATGGGGCCCCCTACTGACGCCGGGCCCTCGGGCAAAGCCCGAGTTTCCAAATGGTCAGTTCGCCCCTGGTTCTGTATTAAAGGATGTACATATAGTAAAAAAAAAAACCCACAATTCAATAATTTAAAACTGTATGAAGTTAAAAAGAAGTAACTAAAATTGACCCACAACAATTACAAATTCCTCTTAAATAATATCACACCTATACAATTTTTGTATGTTCCTCCTGTTGCTCATAAAATAATTTTTAATTCT